AGCAGGAATCAGAGCAGTCTCCAACTCCCTCTGCTTCTGCAGGAGGCCCTGAAATAAATGGAATATAAATGTGAATGTTCTTTCTTCCTCTCACAGCCTGAACTCATAAGGTGTCAGTGTTTCATACTTCAAAAACAATTCGCTTGTTGAGGCCCAATCCTTTTTTAAAAATGCACTGCTTTTTGAAAGCAGTACAACATCATACATTTAACAGAGAGGCACCTCAAGATTTCCTGTCTTTTCAGGAGACTGGATGTGTGAGTGAAGTGGAAGCCAGGCTGGTTTCCAGGGATGAACTGAACTCAGAACCTTGTAGGGTACCAGCTTTTAGTCTGAATGTAAATTACACTCTTAAGGTGAAGGTTTCCATTACCATTTGAACAGTGTCAGGTGGTTTAACATATGTGTGTTTACTCAAAAGGTAACAAGGTCCTGCTTTGGTAACGGCTCTCAAGTACTAGACAATGGAGAAAAACGTGTAACTGAAAACTCTTGAAAGTGTATCCTTGGCTATGTGATAAGTCATACCTGACACAGCTGTGTCAGGTACATTCATAACTTTGAAGTAAGTCTTTTTACTGTTAGCAGTAGATCATATCTATTGATACAGCTGGCCCCTTGGCCGTTTTAGCCGTGTCAGACGTAGTCCGATACCAGGGAAGGTAGTTAAAAACAAACCAAAACAACACGACAGCAAAAGGAACAGTTACAGTGATACATTTCCTCAGCATTCTCTGTCTCAAAGAGCTTACAAAGCGTTCACACTTTCACTCTGTAAGGGTACAGACCTCACGCAGGCGAGCAGGTACTACAGCACTTTGGACAAGGTACGGCTGGCACAGCAGCGGAGCAAGGGCCTGCAGCGCTGGCGTCAGTCAGCACAACAGCCGCTGGACCGCACTTTGCCTCCTCCAAAAGCAGCAGCTGCCTGCTTTCAGTAATGTCAACAGTTGCTTTTTACCTAACCAGCAGTGTCTGCTATTCCTGTTAATGGGTCAATGGACTTCTTCAGTCCTTTTATCAATCATTACTTTTATTATAGCGGTTTTTGCATTTAGTAGCATGTTACAAAACAAAGATGTGACTAATTGCCCTAAAACAACCTCGAGCTGAGCTGAGAAACAAGTAACACTGGAAACTGAAGAGAAGTCAAACACATTTTTTTGCAAAGGTAAATAAAAGGGCCTAGAGAAAAAAACTTGTGAAATGCCTACACAGGGACAAGTAGTGAGGCTTTGTTCACACAGCCTTGGCCCCAGCTGCGAGCTGGCAAGATCCCTTAGCCACTATAGGCTACACAGCCTGTTGGCAAGTGGTCTTATTGCCTTAGTAAAAAAAAACAAAGATGCTTTAGTATGTACTGACTGTAGCTGGAATTTTTGTCCTTTTTTCTTAAACTTTGGCCCTTTGTTTTCACAAACACAATTGACTTTGCTGGATGAATAAACTTGAGCTGTTTCAGTGAGGAAAACAGAAATCTGTTGATAATTCATATTACTGCTGTCAGCTGAGACACAGGAAGAGCCTGGGTGTCTCGTAACAAATGCATTAACAGCACTGCCCTCCCTTGGGCAGAGGTAGGCCCTCATCTGCCCTCCGTTGTCACTGGTGCCTTCCATGGGTCAGCCAGTTCAGCCAGACTGGCTGAAGCAGCCCGGTGGTATTTATCCATCGCTCTAGTGCAGGGTGTGTTGTGATGGCCGAACACTGGCCAGGTGTGCTGTGAATTCCTCCAGACAAAAGGCAGCTAAAGAATGGCCAAACAGGCTGTCTCTATCTAGATAGATAGATAGCTATTAATCCTATATATTTATGTATGCATGTGTATATAATTTTAGAAAACAAGACTAGATTATCTTTGAAATAGAAAAGTAAACTCTTTCTAAATTATATTTCATACAAAAAGCAAAGTATTGCATTATTCTTCATTTCTTAGGGAAATAACTGATGCAGAACAGGTATAATCTGCAGTAATATACAATCGCAGGTATATAATGTACACCTAAGGTCAACAATTAATGTTAATGCATTCTGCAGCTGGTAGAATATTTGAACAAACAACTTGACATGCTGTAAGAAGTTAACTCTTCCAGAACCAAGGTCTACGGAAAGATTAACCTCAGCATTAGTTTTTAGCCACTGTTAAGCCCTGAATACGTACTATGCAGCAAACATGTCCCTAGGCTCCTGGCTCCTGTGTTTGCCAACACGGCTATTACCAATCACCTTAAACCTCTTTAAATATCCATGGCTTTTGTTCACCTCAGCAAGCACAAGGATGAATTTGTACTTTGAAGGTGGCTTCGCTCTTAACTAAATACCACTGGCAAGTGAAGCCTTAATACGAAATACTGAACAGTAGTAGATATTTAACAAAAATGCTGACAAGATTTGGGGAAGACCTGACCCAGTCAAACCTATTTGGAAGCCATTAGAAATTTGCAACCTTTGAGTGCTCTTTGGTCACAACTTTTCTCAGTAACTTGTGGAGAGCTTCATTTGCACAAGGAATTTTCCTACTGCTGAAGCAGATGTATGCATGGCAGAACTTGTGTCTTTCCAAAGCACAGCACGTATTTAATAATGTTAGCTACTGGTAGTTTTGCTGTACTTGAGTCTGTCAGATTTTTGTCCCTCAAGGCAAAGAAAAATAAACGGTGCTGCTAGCATTAAGGTACTTTTAGTATGGAGCCATTACAAGATACTGATATATGTTTAGTGTTCTAAAACAAGAACAAAATGGAAAGCTGAAAGTAAGTGTTTGGTTTAAAAAGTGGGTAGATGAGGTACTTAAGGATATGGTTTAGGGGGCAGACAGGAACGGTTGGACGTGATGAGCTCAGAGGTCGTTTCCAACTGAGCGATTCTGTGATTCTGTGTGATTCTGTTTTGTCCTGCAGCCCCCTGTAACAGCATTTAGAAGCACAACAGGAAACTGTTTGTGTCACTGTCCAGACCTGCAGTTTGAATCTGCTGTGGATGACACGTCGTTCCAGCAGGGGATGTCTCCCATTCACTCATGGGTTAGATACCAGATGCCTGATGGTGTTTTTTGGAGGTATTCTGAGTCCAATCATGAAAATACGTAATTCACAGTCACCTGAGCTATCAGCTTTAGTGCTGCTTTAATTTACTGCAGTGTGGATCCTTAAAGACAGTCTCACCATATTCAAAATCCTTCTGGCAATCCTGTAGACCTAATCAATGCCAGTAACTTACTACAAACAGAACAATGTATACCAACATACGCAGGCTTTTGTCTCAGGAATTCTCGTGTGTGTAGTATTAAACTAAATTTTATTTTATATTTACTCACTAAACCCAGCTGACTGACAAATCCTGAATATTACTTTTACAAGTAACAAAATCCTCCCAAGACAGCTATTCTTTTGCTAAGTGTTCATACTTCAAACTTGCAAATTACATTATTTTTCCAGGGCTGATACGAGTACTACCCCAGTAACTCTTCTGCACCAGTAACACTGCTCTGCCACGACCGGCTTACCCATGGGACACAGAAGCGAAATTTCATTTCCAAGGGTTCCAGTGTTTTGTTACAATATTATTGTTTTTCCCCTTGAAACATTCTTACTATCAAAATCTGGAGACTAAATAAAGCCATTCCTTTTGGTTTCAAGTTTTTTCAGGTACTCCAGAGTTTCATAGCTAACCTAAGGAACTCTTAGAAGTCCACAGTTTCTCTAGGGATAGGCCAAAGGTGGAAGTAATGCATGAAAAACAAAATTAGTAAGAGGGAACAGAAGTGGAGGACAGAGCCTGAAACTTGTGTGATGGAAAAATTAAAGGCTAATGCTTATGACTATGTAACAGCTTGCAATGCTCATTTTGACTGCACTGTTTATACAACCATACATGTTTATCTTACCTGGCGTAATTCTGACAATCCTTTGAGAATTGCTTGTTGTCTCTCTCTGATTTTAACTACGTCAGGATTTAGAAGAGGATCTCTAACATGGTCAGAGCTAAAAATCTGTCGTGGCATTTGGTAAGAATCTGAAAGTAAATGTGTATCAAATCAGTCAACAATACTCTCAGCAATTTTGTTTTCATTTTGAAGCAGATCTTCACAGCTTGTGAAAATCAGAATTTTGGTTGCTATTAGATTTTGATCAGTATTTTTAAGTCAAACAACACTTAGATTTCTAAACCCAATCCTATATCCAATACCACCAGAGAAGTGCCATTATATTTCAATAAAGGTAAACAGACAAAAAATAAAGATAAACGAGTAAGAAATTGTGTTGCTTTTTTTTTTTAAACTTTTTGTGTGTTTATGTTTTTATTTTCATATTGGCATCATTTGGTTGCACATGCTTTCTGTAGAGTACTGTGACACCCGGGTTACTGCAAAATGCAGTAAAAACAAATACCAAATGGAATAAATGGTAGCACTTTGAACTAAACCACTGTAACATTTCTTCTCTTGTACATGAATCAGTTCACAATACATTTCAGTACCATTAGACTGTGGACACTGTGGGTCATGTGTTGAAGGTCTAGTCACTGGTGCATCTGGATCAAGACAATATACTTCATTTGTTCGAACATACGGAATAAATTGCGAAGAGGGAGGTCTTCCAGCTTCCGCAACGGGAGGAGGGGAGCTCCTCTGCTGTGTATCTGTCTTGGTATTTTTCTCTCTTCTACTACTGTTGTTATGTACCAGGAAATTAGAAGCGTGTGTTTGTTTTTGTTGTACTTGGTGTAATCTGTTCTTAAATGCTGGAACAGGTGGTGATTCAGATCTGTGTGAAACAGTTTCAGTTAAACAAACCCCAAAAAACAATACTTAAGGTGATTAATTTTCTCAAATAGTAGAGACAAAGAATCCTCAGAGGACTGAAACTTTGCTCATTTACTGTCCTTTTATACCTGCAGTTTGTCTGGTCTTGTGCATTTTTATAGCAGACAATTTGATGCATCTAAATTCTTAAAAAAATAACTAAAAATCAGGACAGAACACCACGTGTATTTCACTGTTAATCTATTGATGTATTTCATTAACACAGAATGTTGACGTACCTTTCTTCATTCAGATTATTCTTATGTAATTGTTCCTCCTAGGAGAAAACCCAGAAAGTCACAAGTAAAGTAAAAAGCTCTGTCTTTTACACTAAAAACTTTCATTTTTCAAGACAAGTTTGTTCTGAAATTCCAGAAGAACTGTTTGACCTGAGTTCAAGAGAAAAGTATTTATCAAAGACTTGCATTAAAGAGACTTGTTGAGTCTATGAATAAATTAAACAAATTACAGGAGGATTTGCTCTATTTTATAATGTCCTTTGCAGCTAAAAGCACTATCAAAAATATGCTGTGTATTTTCCAGTGACCTTGGAAAGCTGCATTTTTAAACCGGAAAGATTCGGCCCAAGGTAATGATTATTAAGGGAAAGGTCATGTTTCTAGATACAGTCAGTAGAAATTTTCTACTTAAATAAAAATTATTAACATATCCCATGCTTCTTGTGGTATCGGACAGTGCTCACTTATCTTAAAAATCTGCTTAAAATTCACTGCCTCATTTCTCGGGTACAAATTTATTAAGCATTTACCTTTCAAGAATTCAAGCGCAAAACTTAGATTTACCACTAACCTCAAACCACAGAATCCCAGAATGTGAGGAGTTGGAAGGGCCCTGGAAAGCTCATCCAGTCCAACCCCTGCCAGAGCAGGATCACCAGACCAGGTCACACAGGAACACGTCCAGGCGGGTTTTGAATGTCTGCAGAGAAGGAGACTCCACAACCTCTCTGGGCAGCCTGGGCCATGCTCTGGCACCCTCACAGTGAAAAAGCTTTTCCTTATATTCAGGCTGAACCTCCTGTGCTCCAGCTTGTGAACAATAAACTAATGAACTCAGTTAAACAAATTAATAAGTCTTTAAAGATACCTATGAACAGTTATGAATCTTCACTTCTTTTTTTGATACTCACAGCTTCTAAAGCTTGTGCAAGGAGCCAGTGAACAAATGGCTACACAAAAGTAAAGTGGCCACCTTTTCTACAGCAGATTTTTTTTCTACTGGAGTCAGAAAGTGAGGTGTTTATGCATACATATGTATCATAAGAATATACATACACAGAGTGAGCAAGCGAGAGAGAGAGAGAAGGCACGAATATATTTGTCAGTATTTTCTTTAAATGAAAACTGTTGTGGTTTTTTTTCCCCAGCCACAAGCTATACCAATACGTGCTTACTGCAAATGCAGAAGAAATGACTCCACTAAGAAGGATGCATTTTTATTACAACAGAATACGTCCTCAGTAATCTATGTGCTTTGCAGAAATAAAAATTGTTTTCTTGAACAGGTACTCCTACACCTCAGCCTCCACACAACAATGTCTGGAGAGAAAAGAGCAGGTCGCTGCTGTCATTCTATCCTGCACACTGCTTTCAATCAAGCTCTGTGTTTACAAAATGAATCAATGATAATGAATAAATGAAAGAGAATAAACACTTTGCAGGATTGAAATAGCAGTAAAAGCCAAGTCACCAAATCGGAGTATGTTCTTCTGATCATGAAGAACAAAACAATGCTGCAGTACCATTCTTACCACAAACAGCAATAAGAAAATTCCCAATGCTTGAGTTACAGAACTGAATTCCCATCCAGGCAAAACTGTGTAGAACAAGAGACTTAAAACTACACAGCACTGTTGTTAAAGACCAAATGCTTACCTTTCTGACTCTGAGTCCCCTGTTCCTCTTATTTATTTCTTCACGAGGTGAAGGAGACCTGTCTGAACAACCACCCTTCTTTGGGCAGAGATTCCCAGAGGTATTTCTTTCTACCAACTGAAGCAGTTCCATTTGCCGTCTTACTTTGTTTTCTTCCCTTAGTTTTTGTAGCTGTTTAGGGTATCTTTCTGATGCTGGAATGTATCTTTTCCCTGGCTTGTTTATGTTCCAGTCAGGTCTTTCACTGTATTTTTGTGAAGACTTAATTTGTCTTTCTTTTCTTGCATACTGTTCATACAGATCACTGTATCCACCACCAGTCTCTTTTCCTGAAATTTTATTTTTATCTATGTACTGCATTTCCTTCTGGTATTTTTTGCTGCTAGAGGTTTCTTTATATTCTATGGAAATAGCAGGCGATCTGCAACACATGGTTCTTTCCTCAGCTGACTCAGTGTATGCTGAAGTATTAAAGTCATCTAAAAAAAATACAAATCCAAATCTAAGCTATTCAAATTACTCGTTTGACTTTTGTATGCATATCAAACTACCATTGTTGATTTTATTCAAAAATTGGTTGGTTACAGTTTTAGAATGTATTTTATTCTTTTTCATGTGGAAGGTAGACAGGACCAGTAGAAGCAAACCCCCAGTAAGAAGGAAAAAAAGATTGGAGAATGAAGTCAAGTCACTGTAAAAGCAAAATTTAAGTAAAATGAAACTACATTATTTTAAAAAGTAGAATTCTGTTTCTGTCATGGTACCCAATGGCAAGGATCACAACACAGCTTCTCTTTAAGCATACTGATGGTTTGGTTGTATTCACAGTGCTGCTGGGAATAACTTAACTTTCCTAATCCTTGCCTTCCAATAGAAATATTTTGTTCCATTTTTATATTACTAACAATAAAGCTTCTTTACTAAAGAACATGCACAAAAACTTTATTTAATTTGTAAATTCTCCAAATTCATAGTAAAATTTCTACCAGCACTGTCAAAACTGAAAACAGTAACTGTTGCTTAAGCACACAAATAAAACAAAGCTTCTACTTCACAAGCGACAGGAAGCTAAGACAGTGCTAAATGCAAGCCATAATGTGACTGTAAGTTTCCAGTGAATCTGCTCACTCACCCTCACATACAGCATTAATAAATACAGACTAAGTTTAATCTGGGTGTTTTAATGGCGTGATACAAAAGCAAGATAAAGACTGGAAAGTATTCTATTTAGATGGACCGGCAATTCTGTCTGGGCATTTAGCAAGAATTGCAGAAAGCTTTTCTAAACATTCGAATGTAAGCTCTCATTTTCTAATGAGTCTAGTTTTCCAATTCCAGAATTATTGACAATGTTTCTGCCAATATTATCAAGGATTCATTAGGAACCCAGCCCTGCTCGATCCAAAACCACGTTACATAAACTCATGAACATTCACACTGAAGGCAACCACAAATATATGTTTAAATGCCTTAATAAATTTAATTCTATGTGGCTCGTGACCATGACTAAGTCAACACTACATTTCAGACTGGGTGATTTGAGTCTGTAACTGGTAAGTAACAACTATATAGCATATCATTTATGTAGAAGAATACAGTGACACATTAGAAATACATTGGAATATGACATGTAATATTCCAACCGCCTGTGTCTCTCCAAGTACTTGTTTCTAGTTTTATTCCATTATGGCTGATGGTGGTTTGGCATTATAGCTCAGTTTCACAGATATGCTGTTCTACTATCTTTCTTGAAGTTCATCAGAGTAATTAAATTCAAGGGCTGCATACCTGTCTGTACAGCAGTGTCTTTCCGAGGAGAAGTGTGCTGATCAATGTGACTCTTAACGTCATCAGAAAAATTAAGACTTTGATATGAAGTGTCACTATTACAATTTTCAAATTCTGTTTTACCTAAAAAGAAGAAAGTAAAAGCGTTCAATTTAGTAATGTATGTTCCATTTAAACCGTGCTATCAAATTATCAGACTATTGTAGTTTAGAACTCAAAGCACAACTGAAAACTATGATTCTGATCCCAATACTCTCCTTTTTTTCACTGGAAATCTAATCGACTGCACAGAGGTCTGAATATTCCTTATGCATTCCTCATAGTATTTGGCTATTTCTTCCTTTATGTATTTGAAGCTTACTAAAATACAATATTCTTTTCATTAGTTAACACTGATATTTGTTTGGAAGGTAAATAAGCTGAAATGAAATGTGGTTTGTCAAGCAAAGGAGCAATTTCTGGCCCAAATGCAGACAGGGGAGGTTGGGGAAAGCCACCAGCAACTCCCACTCAAACACCACAGGAATTGGCAAACTGAATATTAAAAGACTTCTACTTGCCACCACCAAGATTCTTCTGAAGTTGTGAAGTATCATGTCCCTTCTGAGTCAAGTCTTGAATGCGCTGTTCTTGTTTTATTCTCTGCGCTAATTCTTGAGATTTCTGCATTGTCTGATAGAGCTCATTTGTTCTGAGAGTCACAAGTTCCTTTAAAAAAAAAAAGTTAATATATGTGGTCATTTATTTTGAGAATAAAATTAATAGGATTATTTAATCCCTATATAATCCTCAAGTTTTAAATATATTCTTATTTCAGGCAAAGCATTTAGAAAAAAACCAAACTATTTGAGTAGATGCAATATGTAACATACAACTTTTATGATTAAAAAGATAAATTCAGAACCTCTGTTGTGCTAATAAAAAATGTTCAATCCTAGCATTCCAAAATGAGCATCTAGATCATTAAAATTATTTGGATATTTATCTCCTTTCAATAAATCTATCTTTTCCTAAATGCCATCTGATTTCGGCCATCTAAGACTTACTTTATCATGTTGTTTAATGAAATAAAAGCCTAAATAAAAAATAATTAAACCCCTTTCACATTCCTCCTACTTCTACATAACATCAGACAATGATTTTAACCTTCTACAGACTCTTCTGTAACAGGTAAGAATGTACGCAAATGCAAAATTTGTACTTACCAGAAGTCAAAATGTTACTTTTGACTTACTTTTTAAACGAAAGAATTATTACAATTCAGTAGTAGTTACAGAGGAGGAAGCACTAGGACACAAATGACTTTTAAAATTACTTTTCTAGAATATATTCTGGTAAGTCTTTAATCCAGAGTAAAAGCACATCCAAGTCAGACAAAGTTCACAGTACTGAAGCATCCTAAAAGCATCAAATTACCAAAACCAATAATTGGATTACACATTTTGGTGGGTTATATTTAAATTTTTTTTTTTAATTTAAAATTTGCATTTTAAAATGCGTGTCTCTGCATTATCTAAAACTACAATTCCACGTTTGCCAGTTCTTATCCATTTCTCTTTCTGAAAAGGCCCTTGTGCAGAAGAAGAATCCTGCCTTAAATTCTTCTTAAATTCCTGCCTGAATGGCACAGTAACTTTATTAATTGAGGAAACAGATTTTGGTTTCAAACGTCTACATTTCAGATAGTTTTAATTTTCAAACTGATGAGTCAATACATTTGAATGTGAAGAAGAAGAATAATTTTTCTTCAAACGCAGTATTATTACAGACTGTCTGCATTAAAGAAAATACAAAAGCTCACCTCCTTTTCTTTCTGTTTCAGCACCTCTTCTTCAAACTGTTTCTTCATTTTTTCTTTTTCTCGTGCTAGGCGCTGTTCTTCCTTTTGTTCTTCCCATTTTCTCTGCTCTTCCTCCAGTTGTTTCTTCTTTCGTTTTTCTTCTACCTGAGCCATTATTGCTTTCTAGTAATATCAGAAAAAAAAAGGAAAATTAAAAGACAAAACATTAAAGGTATTATAAGCTATATATTCATATACTTCCATGTATGTGCATACTACTTTGACTTGGACAAATTAAAGAAAATAAGACCTTTTTTTTCTTTTTTTTGGTGGAGTGGAGAACCACCAGCCCAATGAGGCAGTTTGAAATACTCAGAGACAAACAGAAGTAGCTTTTTACATTTCAAAATACTTTTGTTTTTCTTGTAAAGAAATGGTGGTCTGATTTTTACCTTACGTACTGTAGGCTAGTACTTTGACCTAGCAAAAGAAGAGCTTGATCAGAACAGGCTTGTTACATTTATACTAAGGCTTTTGTACACTGTGCTAAAGACAACATCATGCGGGTATACATGCCGTTAGAGTGCCACTGGGTAATGTAAACGACAGTGGATAAAAATTTAAAGATTCATGGAGGGGGTACTTGTAAATACCAGACCTCCTGAAGACAGCAGAGACTGAAGAAAAACGCACACAAACCTGCTAGAGCTCTGAAAACTGCACTGCACATTTTTGAGGCAAGAATTCAGTTACAGAAATGCAATCATCTCTCTACAAATATTAAAAGAAAATAGTAGAGTTTAACTGAATGAAAGTACCTCAAGTACCTCACTGCATTTTGGCATTAAATCTCATGCTTTATTCACGTGACAACATTACTCTTCATTCTTTCTTCTCATTAAAACAGTTTTAGTAAAACAGAAGTCTACCTGATGTTCTAACTGCTTCTGCCGCTGCCTGTCTCTCTCTTCAATCTGTGCAGGGTCCAGAAGCGCTGTCATTGAACGGAAGAAACTGTGAACAAAGAAACATGTAAGCGTTTCTAATTATAAGAAAATAATCTTAAAGCCTTTACTAGTTAGAATTAGTTAGATTTCAAATACTATTGGGGTTATCCCAATGTATTAATTTTGAATTACGCGATTCATTTTACTAAGAAATGAAGTAAGGTCATTTACAGTACATTTTATTAATGAACAATGGAAGCACTTGTGTCTTTCGAAAGTGAAAGAACAGGTATTTCTGAAAAAAACAAATGCCAAATGAATAAGATCCAAAGATCAGATTTAAAAAACCTTGTTAGTGTTTTTTTTCTATTTTTCTTTTCTTTTTTCTTTTTTTCTGAGGAGGTATCAGAAATGCACTGGCTGGAAAGATGATTCTTCTTACAAAGCTCACTCACCTGACTTTCTGACCGCGTTCCAAAGCACTGTTTTTAGCAGCATTTTCTGCATCTGCATTTCCCACCTTTGAGGGCATAAGGTTGCCTAAAGCTGCAGGTGACAAAGGGTGAATAAAAGCAGTCAGCTCCTTAGGGTCAGGTGACAGGCAAAGACTTTCAGGCTGCTTTTTGTACATTCCATTTAAGGGGTGTTGTGCACTAGCATTAAGGTGGCTCTTTAACGAATCAAAATGCATTGCCCATCTGTCATGCTCTTCAACCTAAATAGGACGCAACAACAAAAACAAAAAGAAATGCACTCAATTACACGTTTTATAAAGCAAGGTTAACAAAACAGACAACACACATTTTGTAAAACAGGAACGTTTGAAAAGCTCAGTTATGAGGCTACAATACAGTAGTTAATACCCTTAATGGTAAAACAGAAGTCTCTCTGTTGCTTAAAATGCAAGTCAGATCAGAAATTATACTGCTGATCCATATACTTGGTCAGCAAAAACACGTTTCTACTATATTTTCAGGGGAAAAAAAACAAACCACAACTTAGAAAATTTTTAAAAACCCTGAAAAATAAAAAGCTAACATGAATTCAGGTTTGTTGGCACTACTTTTTCGATTTATATTACTATTCCATTCTGTATTTTTTCTAATAGTACTGGGAACTGCTTGACTAAGAAGTCAGTACCCTGTCCACTCTGCCACACTGTACTCCTGTTGGGTTCACATTCTCTCGCTAGTAATGGGAACACATGGCACCTTTTACACTGTCCTGCATTTATCCCTCCCATTTTAATTCTGGACAGTAGCAGAATTAATATGCTTTGGGAAGAGATATTGATCTCTAACTTCCTATTTTCAACTAGACAGGCCCATTATAAAATAAGCCTTCTCTCAAAATCTCATCTACCCACAGCAGCCACCACCGTTATCCAAGATGAGTACCTAAAACTTCTGAAGAGGTGACATACTGGGTTTAAGCATGTCTCTTTAAAAGTCTCTTTTGTACCACCCAGGCTTATATTTTTTTTAGCTCAGTGTTGGCAATTGAGACATTCCAATATTTCACAAATAAGAGATTTTTACCTAAGAGGCCTTTGTTTTTGCTATAGGTACCAAGGTGGTTTTCTCTTGTGACTGTTTCCCTGAAGGGACTGCAGAATGGCTACCTCCAAACTTGCATTCTGCAGGAAAAAATACCCAACATAATCTAATCTAATAAACTTGCTGGGAGTCCTTTCCTTAACATAAATTCCCTTCTGTCAGAAAAGTTTCACACCTATTTTAAAAGGGGCAAGAAAATCATAGTCCAAATAATGAGAATCCAAATTATTTTTCATCCTGTTCCCTGAATTTTGTTCCCCTTGAATACTCTGTGAGGTAGAAGCAGGTCAGAGTAGTTGGAAAATCTATTCTTATGTAAGTCTGTGGTGTGATATGCAGAAAGGTTGAAAATACAACACAAGACCTGAAAAAAAATAAAAATATGTTTAAGAAAACAAGATTAAGTGCACATCAGCTTCCTTTCAAAACGGGGCTGGAAGTGAGATTACTGCTAGGTTACTCACTGCTGACTGCAACCATCTTGCTACAGCACAGCTATCAAACTAAAAAACAAGGTAGCTAATGAAGTAACATTTCAGAGCTTAAAAGTTGCCTTCACAGTTATAAAGCCCTATTTACAAAGGAAATTTGACTCCTTCAACAACTCAGGAAATAGAAAGACTTGAGTTGTATGTAGGTATGCCACCACCCTTGGCAACGGGATTTTTTTAGAGGGTAGGTAGGAGAGCTCTCTTCTAGTATTACAAACAGCAGAATTAAAATGAAGCATTTCTGTTCTAGGAATTGTATAATTATGGTAAATGCTTCAGTTGAGGATAAAAACTGTAGTCTTTAAATCCAGAAGGCCATAGACTACAAACACTCATATCATTCAAGTTTTGGTAACCAAGATTCTTGATCACAAATAATTCAGAAGATATAATGCTGTAAATATATCTTCTGCATAGTGAAAGACGTAATCCTGGATTCTAGCAGCAGTACAATCTCGCTGCATGTTTCCTCACCTCCTGTCTTCCTCACAAGACAGAGTCTTTGGAAGAGTGTGTCAGTGTCCTGGGTTTCTTATAGATAAGAACACAGAGTATTCCACTGCCCTTAAAACTATGAATAGCAACATGTAAAGGAAAGAAGTCAGCTTCTATATGAAAAGACTCCAGAGGTAAAAAATACATTGACCAAACTGGCATATAGTGACAGTATTAAAAGTATCTTCAGGTACTCCAGCTGCAAAGCAATTACACAGCCCACGCTGTCCTTCCAGATCCAGCATAAGAGACCTATGTTCAAAAGCCTGGAAAAACCAAAGGGTAAAAAAGGTAAGGCTATTTTCTTCAATACTTTTTGGAGTAGAAGTGTTTAAGAGAGTTTCATAAGAGTGTAGGCGTGTTAAAACAGTATTTCTAGAAACAGGATTTTAACACCACTGTGACACAGTGTAACTGTCTGTAACTTTCCTTCTCATCTCCTCCTGTAGTTTACAGAAAATTTCCTTTTACAAAGTGTCTAGCTGGTGTCTCTGCAACACCTTCCAAACCCTAGGGCTTTCATGCAATGGTGGGAAAGAAAATACAGTATTATCACTGTTTTCATCCCTGCAGCCAGCACTGTAACACATGACCAGACACATGGTAGTCTGTTCTCTGCCACCGAAACAGCTACTGGCTGAATGTTCAATCAGACTGTCCTATGGACCTACAGTGAAAACCTCGACATGCTGAAAGTAATTACATCTTTGTCTCTACTTCATTAATGACCAATTAATCAATTATTAATCACTTCTATGATTTTATCTTTTATTTCTTAGAACAAAAATGGAGAGAAAAACTTCTCTTATTCCAAAAAGTCTCTTTAAACCACAGATACCTTTGATAAATTAAGCTTTTCTTCTATTTTTCGTAGCTTAGCTTCTTCTTTCTGTTTGTCCAGCTCTTCAAGCCACTTCTTCTGTTGCTCATGCTTCAAAGCACTAAAAGGTCGTTCCTGCGGCACAGCTTCCTGAAATAAGAGAAGCGCTAGTCTCTTCCTTGTACCAAAAATGCAATACCTTGTCTGGCCACATAATAAAGATTTGGCAGAAAACTTTGCCTTCAGTTGCTAGGAATAAGTGGCTGTTCACTTGCACACAAAAAATGAATGTAAGTTTGTAACTGCAACAAATGCCTGTCTGTTCCATGAAAATGCTTCAATTGTTAGAAAAATGCTAAATAAGCCAGTCTTTCAATACTATTCTAACTTGAACTCTCAGCCTGTCACTCAAAAAAACCCCTTACTTATACGAATCATGAATAAAAATCTTAGTTCGTCCTATGGTTCACTGCTAGTCTGTGTTCCAGGTAGATTCAGCACCATGATCTAATTAGCAGTGATCTGTCTAAAGAAAATTCTAAACACCATCTTCATGCTTCTGTTCCTGCTTCTTAATGGCTATCTGTATCATTTAACAAACTCCAGTGGGACTGAGAACTTTCAATGCTACATGACAAAACCCACTCTTCAATCAGTGCCTACTAGCAATAACTCAGAAACTACTTCTTGAACCTTCTGCCATCAATATACTTTTAAGTTTTTTATTTCTGATAGGTTCCTGCTTCTCTATTTCTTTAACACAGACTTAAAAGCTAAGTAACACTTCAACTCATGCCTCTAGTACTGTTCTTCATATCCACCTTGAAAATGCTCAGTCTTCAAAGCATCCATATTTTGATAAACATTGATTCAGATACAATTCTCTAGACAGAGCAGAAAAGTCTGCAGAATTCTTCTTGCTTCAAAGAACTACTGACAATAGACATCTATTGTCAATAAATAAGTAACAAACCCCAAAAACCAAAAAAACCACCAACCCTGCATGCAGTTCAAAATCTTACCTCTAAAACAAATGCTGTGCAGTTGACAGCTGGTAAATCAGAAGAACTGAATTCAGAAGACTGCTCAGCTGGAGCACTTGAAACATTCAGTGGAACTTGATTAGCCCCTGTGGTTAAAGCAGTTGTACAGGCACAGGTTTCCTCAGTGGTAATAATTGAGCTGGCTGGAAACATTGTCTGCAAATAAAATTACCACTGTTGTTTAACACTTGATTTATTGAGCTCACCTGTTTTGTTTGTATTAAATATCCTTTAACATACAATAAACCAGTAAATTGTATTTCTAGGAGTGCCTATTCATTAAAATTTCAGCCAAAACTAAATATCTCATATCCAGTACTTCATAATTACTTAGTTTGAAACAAATTCTTACAGAGCGGAGTGGAAACTTTTCTAGGAATGCTGAATATGCCACAAAAAAAGGAATTTGCTTTGGCTGTCATAACTGGTAGCAGGCACAACCCTAACTTCTGTTTAACGGCAATCAATTTCACTGGAGAACCAGCCTCATCCAAGTATAGTAAATTTGTCTGACACTGCATTTTCAGAGCAACAGCTGACTTTTAAAAAGACAGGTTAAAGTCAGATTGCTATGCTTATTATGTAAGCAATGAAAAATGTGAGGACTCATGAACAATGCAAATAATTATATAAACAGGAATTACATTTGAGACTATTCTTCAAAACAGAACTGGAAAAGATTTATACCTTTTGGTTAGGAATCAACATGGAAGAACAGGAATGGGTTGTTCGTGCTAAAAAGATTTATATCTGTGAAACTACAAACTGGAGCAATAGGTAAGCGTGAAACTGTTGCAGCAATTCATGCCATGCAAAAGCTTAAAGTGACCACTGAGACTGGACTGTACTGAATTCATATGGAAAAGAAACTCTTATGAATTAAAAGTTGAACAGTTCTGGAACAGTGCTGTGGAAACTGTGTGCTCTTTAGTGTTTATTGACAGCCTTACCTTATCTAGGTCACCTGTTTCCACTTTCTCTTTATGGCCTTTATTATTGCCAGGTTTTGCCCAGAAAAAACACACATCTCCCTCCAAAGTTTCTTTCAGTTTCTTCTTCAGTGCTACCTGTTCATCTTCAAAAAAAGCAAACTCTAGTAAGAGTTCCTAACACAGACATGTAGCAGGTTTCGGGGGGTTTGGTTGTTTTGGGGGCTTCTTGTGGGTTTTTTTGTTTCCTTTGTGTTTAGACTACAACAGTAAGTCACCATTGTCTGACTAATCAGTCTAAACATGAGTTTTCTCTTAAGAGGATGGCAGATGAGTCACTGCCCAGAGATGTAGAGGTAACTGTGGATTCTCTCCAAGAACACTACAAAACACTGAAGGCTTAACGATGTCCCAGAAGAAGAGGGAAAACTAACAGAAATAGAAAGTATGCAAATTCTCTCCATTTTCTTATACCAGTCTTGGACTATTGTAATATTATTAAAAGCAATGGAGCTATACATGGAAGCTGCTAACAATGCAGAATCAAACTCCGAAATCAGACAATCTACACCAAATTGAAAACAAAACACAACACCCCTGCATGTGAATCATAAAAAGCTTAATTTGTCAGAGAGAATTTAAACTTTTTTTTTCTACAGAGATTGCCCTTGGTTGCTGATGGGGCAGGACTGAAAACTGTTTCAAGGTCAAACTGCAATCTCACATATTGAGTCATGTTTGTAGATTATGGTGACACTTTTCTTTTTTAAAAATGAAAAAGGAAATTTAAATTTAAAAATTAATTTGTTAATGATAATGGCTATCAACTGCTAGCAGAATGTGACAAAATTAGTGGCAAGTAATTCCTCAAATATGAAGAATAACGGAATATATTTGTAATAATTATATGGTGAAGAAGCAGTTTTAAAGGAAGTTATAGATAATCTCTGCATAAAATTTTGAAATTCAAGAATCTTAATCTCTCTTGGAGACTAATAAAACTATGCACCTGCCAATTTGTAGCAACTGCACTGATATAAGTAAATTTTAAAAAGCATAATGAACACAAAGCTTCTTGGCATCCTGAACATAATAAATTGATCAAAAGTATATTCTGTATATGGTAAGTACCTAATTCCTTCTTCCATTCCTTCTTTCTAAATTCTAGTAAGGCTTTTTCCCCTTCTCTTTCACCCAAGGTACTAAACATGTCAGCAGGTTTCCACGGATCCTTTCTAGAGAAAAGGAGGGAAAAAAAATAATTTTACCTAAAATGCTAATCTGTTAATTTTAAAGGTAACTTTTAAATTAGTATTTAATTAGTATTTATGATTTTAATTAGTGTTTTTACTGTGATTAAGAATTACAGTACAAGTCTTTATGGGAGATACACGCAGACAATAACACAGATGCACATACATAACTTTCTGTCCTGGCTGCGGATATGCTTCTTGTTTCCTGCTTGAATCAGAGTTAGCTTCATCAACAGATGAAACTTCACAAGTGTTTTGAAGCAGCACTGTAATGTTTTCCTCTGATGGCTCATTAGTACCTGTGGTAGAGTATAAATTCACTAAACTTTCTACAGCATTGAGTAAATACTTTAAGAAAAGCAGAAATTTGCAAATTCACCACTATTTAACAAAACTGTTTTCAGCCCTGGTACTTTTAGAATGCCAGACTTACAGTAAACACTATTCTTGGCTAAGAGCTCAGACTTTGGGACTCTAATTACTTAATTACAGTGTGTCTTGTTCTTGGTGGCAAAGACCTGACCACCTCCATAGGTTCACGAACAGAAGTAAGGATGTAGGAAGACAAGCAAGAGTTCTTATGCTTTTGAGTAAAAGAATTGAAAAAAACACCAACTATTCAACAGTAATATTACAGCTAAGCAAAAAGATAACATGCACATCTTTGGGGCAGAGGAAAATGGCAGTACTGCCCTTGAGATGCATAGCCAGACCCGAACTCGTCACAAAACAAGAAAGGGCTGTCTCTTTGAGGCACTGGGATTTTTTTGAAACTTCTAATGGTACAGTGCATTTCTACTATGTTTTTTTCCCCAATGTAAAATGAATCTTTTTTTGCATGAAATAATGACAAAACTGCTTGCTGTTTGGCTTTTCAAAGTACTGGAATACCATCAAGCAATCCCCAGTTTTTACTGCTAAAATTATCAAATGCTTGGCTGCCAACAGTAACAGGCAATTTCACATCCATAACAGCATTTTCTCTGAACCATTAAATGTAAGAATAACATCTCTGCAGCCTGCAAATGAATTTAAATTGTGAATTCCAAGTTAAGCTTTTACATTTTGCTCTATTTCCATGAAACTAACTTAACTATTGGTATCTTACCCATTTTCTCTTGCTTTTCATGAGTCTCATAGATATTTCTAGTTCCTTCTTTTACAGTCATCAATATCTGTTGAAGCTGTTCTTGTGTTAAACATGCCAAACTACTTAGGTCTTCAGCTGACACACATGCATTTTGAGGTTTCGGTTTACTTTTTTTAACATCAATAGGATTCTCTGAATCAGGGTATCTGTTTGTGCTATCTCTTTGGAAAATCAAAGAGTGATCTTTAGTTGCAGCTTCATGTGAGGAGTATTTAAGTACTTGCAGTTTTTCACCTTTTGTCATTGATAAGCTTGATGCACTCCTTGGTTTTGTTAAGTTTTCCTGCTTGATACAAGCATTTTGTGTTGACCTCAGAACATGCCCAGTATGTCTTATTCTCAATGCCTGTTTAGGTGCTCTGGCTTTATGACCCATCTGTTAAAGCAAAGAAATTTCACCATATATTAAATAAGGAAATAAAACTGTATGGATAACAAACAAAAACAAGATTGAAGCAACAAGTAAAATAAATGTAATTTTTATTCTCTGTTCCATCAGTAGAAACTAACTCAGTTTGAACTAATGAAGTATCTTCATAAGTACTAGGAATACCTGGGAAGAGAATACACCACCTGCATTTGAATATTTTAAAATGACAGTATGAAAAATAACTATGTAACATAACATCTAAAATAATTAATAAACATTAATTCTTATTTTCTCTGGTGTTTCTGAAGCCTGGCTTTAAACAGGTCTGTTTTCACCATACAGCCAGTATTTTTTCAACCTTGATTCTTCTATTCTGTACTAAAGTTACATCCCTTTCAAGGTCCCTGATGTACACTTGTAACTATTTCCTTTGTTTTGAGATCTTTTTCTGCTTTCTTTCCTGCCCCAACCCACTGCGTTCCAGTTTACCCAGACAGAGACAATATATACAACTAAACTGGAACTTAAACACACTTCAGATTCCTATTTTACCAGAATGCCCTTAAGGTCTACGAAAGATCTGATTTAGATGATTCTCTGTGCTGTAACTTCTTGCCAAAGTAAACTAAAGTGTTTTGCAAAGGTGAGAACTTTTAATTCATCCTTTTTAACAGCTATTATGAACCTGAGAAATCACAGAATCATAGAGTATCTCAAGATAGAAGGGACACATCAGTGCACATTTATCTTTCGTAAATATCATCGATTACAAGAATGTGAGCAGTTCAAATGTGTTCTCAAATTTCTGTGTTAACAAATTAAGTATTTAATTTGTGTGCTGTAACCAAAAAAGCCATTTTTCCACTTACCTTCATTGCAGGCTTTAATTTATCTTTTGGAAAACAAACACAAACATATGAGAGGAGTATTTAGTAACAACTTCCTCCTGAAAAACAATCTTGAGAAATCAGTAAGCTGTTATTTTCATCTGATTTGCAGAAGGCAGAGAGAATGTACTTTCTGCTTAACGTTTGCCCCAACTATATTATTATACTCTTTTTAAAAATTATTTATTACAATTTACACACAGAATCACACACAATCACAGACCGTTAGGGACTGGAAGGGACCTCAAAAGATCCTCCAGTCCAATCCCCCTCCCGGAGCAACAACAAAAGAATGTTGGGGAGGGGAAGGGAATGTATTCAAGTAACTAATTCCAGTTTTATACCGATCTAATAAAACTATTGAGCCAGTCTGATCCTCCTCTGCTATTCATTCTGTTTCTCTGAGCCCTGTGGCAACGGCTTATTTTTAATTGTTTGTTGTGATTTTTCAGTTTGCTTTCTGTGTCACATCCTTCCCGGATAGTCCCTTCATTCAACCCCATCTTACTACATGATGTTATCTGACTCCATTGCTGACATCGTAAAGAAATAACACTTGCATAATCCCACCATCCCTTATTGTTCCCCTGACCTACGCCTTGAAATGTTCTTCAGTCTTTTAACCCAAATGCTAGAGGCGTAGCATAACATAGAGGTGTAGTGGTGTCAAAAAAAATAATTAAGTACTACGTTAAACACAGTATTTATTAATAATGTAATATTAATAGATGGAATGTGGTATTCAACACAAGGAATTCAGCATGTATTGCTAATGGAAAGGAAGGAGAAAATAGTAAGGATGGTATCGTAGTGGAACACATCTGTTGGAAACAAGGCTTCTTCAGCTGCGCTATGCAATTATTGCTCTGGCAGTAGTCAACGCACATTTTGCACTGGTAGCACCTAGACCTTTTTTTTTTTGCATTGCCAATTGAAGACACTGGAGAATACTCACTTTCCTAAAGTCTGCAAAAACACACTATTAATAGTTTCCAACCCAGATGAACATTTTGAAACTTGGTAGTACGCTGAATTGTATTGTATGTCGTCCTGCAGAGACAGGCATTAAATCCTGAACCCTCTGGATAATGTTTCAGTAGTAAAGGTGTTCTGTGGCTGTGTTTATCTCTGGGTTCTCAAGTATTCATTCCTCATCTGAGTAGGTAAAAGCCACTTTTTTACTTTTCTGGCTATTCAGAAATGAAATAAAGTGGGATGCTGTGTGCTATGCAAACTCAGCTTCTCTGTGGAGAGAAGAAACATAAATAGGGTCTTTGCCATCGCTGTGGAAAGCTACGTAATGTGGAACTCCAAAGTGCTGCTTATGGGTTATTTTCTTTGGATACTACAGGATACTTCTACTTTAGGCCCTAAGACTGAAAGCATTATTTGAAAGTGCAGACAAGTGAAATTCAGAAGTAACACAATTTGGAGCAAATTTTGACACAATTCAATTCAAGGGAGTGCTGCGAATATCAGTCATATAAACATGTTAATTCCTGGAGATGCCTGCTAGTTCAAAGCTATTTCAAAGTCTTTATCTTAGAGCACTCTGGAATGTACACTGGCCCTATCCAGTCAGCGATGATAACTATCCTTGGAAAAAGTGAAAGCTGTAGCATTTCAGAGGTATTGCAATGTTTTGTTTTCAGTATTCCACTGGGATTCTTTACTGACTCAAAATACTCCGTAACATCTCATTAGATAGCTGTCTGGTAAAAGCAGAAAATGAAACATAATTTAGAGGGCATTAAATGGAGAATTTCTGTATCATGACTGCTATGTAGAACAGACAAAGTGGAACTGTGCTTGTATAGAAACATATGTCTGACAAATCAGAAAAATCACATTTATTGATGCTTAATTATGAACATCTACTGAAAAAGGCTATCTCAGATGCTGGTAATGAGATCTAGCCTAAATAAACTGCTTATTGAAATTATAAATGTCAACAGCCAAATACCAAAGCTGCTTTAAAGTCAGAAATGTGACTGTAATGATGTAATTCTGTGTAAACTAAACAGCAAGTTATTAAGCCTCTTTTCCCTTGGCAAGTAAGGTGCTATAAAGTTATAGAAAATATCAAGTTATGACATTCAATATATAATAGTATTTAAGTTTTTTGGTGTTTTGTTTGGTTTTTTTTTAAATAAATGGAGAGTCAAGCTAGAAAGAGTCAAGAGTATTCTCCTGCTGTTTACCAGTGGACAGACTACTTAGATCAGTACCAACCTGGTAAGTAATAAGACTTGTAAATAACAATGCACAAATATTCTTCCTAATCTGAAAAATATTTCAATAAAGCTGTGCTTCATGTTGCCTGGATTGTAAATTCAACTTTAGGAAGCTTTAAAGATCACTCAAGATAAATAATTTTAAAAATACCTGAAGAAGCTAAAATTAGCCTAGGCTTTCCATCCAGAACTTCCGTTTCAAGCTTCAGTCCATCTCTGCAAAATGAGAAAGAGAAGGGAATCTAAAATGTTAAGTAATCTGATAATGGTAAGATTTTTACACTAATAACAACACAACTGTACTTAATTATAACACTGTATTTAATGTTTGTCCAGATGCTCTTTCATACCACAAGCTTCCTATGTCTGTGAGAAGTTACTTAATACAAAGAAATTAGCAGGTCTTGAAGAGGGTGTATTTTTACTACTGATACTGGAAAATTTGGATTTGCATTTACAAAGTAAATCTAAATGCTGAAGGTGCCACTCTATATTGTTATACATAGCAATATGCCTGCCTCAAGAGTTTAATAACACAATATAAACTCTGTGCTACAAAAAATGCTAAACATGCCTCCCTGAATGCCAGCACTGATCACAAAGAGGGACTGCACTCTGAAAACAGACTTTAATTGCGCTTCCATGCAAAACAGTCCACATTATAAAGTGGAACGAACGTTATTACAATGATTAAAAAATAATAATAATAATTGGCAGTGTTTAGGTGTATGAGTGTAAAGTACCTAAACGCTTTTCTGTCTTCCACGCATTAGAGAAAATCTAATACGAAAATTAATGTTCAAAATAATGCTTATCTTCAAGTTGCTTTCATTAAAATAAAATAAAAATCCTAACACATCTAAAGCTTGCACGCAACTTCCTAATCAACACAGCAGTGCCCGAAGCTGTAACTCTAGCCGCTCGCACAGCATACGGCAGCTAAGCCGAGCCCCGCACCTTCTGCTCTGTAGCCGCTTTGTGTCGGCAGGGCGCGGCGGAGGGAGGCGGCGGGGCCGCAGGGGGCGTCGGGTTCTGGCGCGGTCGCCCAGGAGCGGGCACACGAGCGCCGGG